CAGGAATTTCCATTATGGTTGTGTTAGCCCTCTCGGCAAACCTGAATTTCCAATCACTATAGGTATCATCCGATCTAATTCCCCATGCTTGAACCTTCTTTCTTCTCACAATCTACATGGGATGTATACATCATCGACAGCCGCAGCCAACTATGCCTTGCCTACTGTGCTGGCCGGCTGCTTACAGTCGAGCTACACATATTGGCATGTAACATGCTATAACTAATCACTCTGATGGGTTGTTCATCGTGGTTACCTCTCTTTATTTTGGCATTGCCCATATTGCTTGAGATAGCCTATCATTTAATATGCCTACTGGAGCGACAGCCATATCTTCGTTCAGTAGTGCACTGATCACAGCAAGGAGCAGCCTGCTAAAGTATAGGCTTGGTATCTACTACCATAGTAAATTTAATAGGTTTTCTCAAATATTTTGGTACTAAGTAGTTCTTGGCTTGCTGTTCATATATAGATTATGATACTATTAATTAGTCCATGTTCGGAATTTGTATTCCCAAAGAGTATCATAATTTAGGAAGTTGGCTTATTTGTAACCACAGTAACACAAAAGTTAAGCACACTAATTAACCATGATTTTTTTTGGACGCAGTTCAAGGAGTTCAACATGATGGCTTCTTGCGTTGTCAAATTGCTGTTATCTTTCTCCCTCCCCTCCCTATTGCCCAATATCATTATGTGTTACTAAGTTCATCAACAGAAATATTGTACTTTTTATGCTAGCAACGTTATTCATAAACCCCAAGTTAGAGTTCGTTACCTCAGTAGTTCCTATTTTTTTACTCCTCACAAAATCGTGATAATCTGGTAAGATGTCATCCAGCAGTTTCGTGGAATCAAAACAATTATTATCAAGATTTTTTTGTTGTACTTTCGCTGAGAGATGTTTACCGTGGCCTCAAATTGACTATCTTCACCTGAAAACACGTAATTTACTGCCTCACGTCTGTAGCCAGGATTTTTTTTTTAGCTGAGCCAGATATATATTATTGGTTGGGTGGTAATCAGACCAGTTTGTTACTCTTCATAACCATTATCAGAAGCGCCCCCATATAAAAAAGCATTATCATAAGCCATTGTCTATGTGCTCCGGTATGCCACTCCTCCAAACTGGACCCAAGTAAACAATATGTGAAAGATATAGTTCTTCATTAAATAACATTTTATTACCAGTCGCTTCTAGAAACAATATGAATTTTTTCATTGTTTTTGCTCAATACTGTAGCATATGTACTTTGTAGACATTTTCCAAACATATGGGGAGCTTTAAAGAGTTTGTCCACAGAGATGGCAAGTTTTTTTTTGTTAACATTATTGTGCGCTGCTGAAGGTTTTTCTTTTTTTGAAGACGTGCGCTGTTGAAGGTTGAGTATACAACTATACATGCAGGGCCATTGTTTCTTTAAGGCATATAGTTCACTGAAAAGGATACAAAGAGAAAGTTATCATGACTACACAATATAAAATTCTTATTTTTTCACTTTTCCATGACAAATTATTTTCTAATCATTGGAAATTGGTAGGGTATGATATTTCTATTATTTTCAACCATTTTCTTATTGCCATTTGTTTTGGGGAACAATATAAAAAGTAAGCCCTCTTTGGAACAAACAATTTTAAAGGCAAGTAAAAACTGTAAGACTAGAATGTCATCACTTCCTCGCAAATAATGTGTGGTTTCTTGTTTATTACCTATAGATGATTGTTGTGCATACTACATATATTAGGCATGATATATTAAGATGTTTATCTCACGGAAAAGAAACATCTGCCAAAGTAAATAAAAATTGCACACACAACCCTGTACAGACTCAACACAATATTTTCTTACTTACAAAATTATTTTTCAAATTGAAACTAAAGGGCAGAAGAGGCGTGCCTATCAAACATCACTTTTTTTGTAATAGAGAGTGGCTACAAAGCCTAATTTTACTCACAAAGAAATTCATGCACACAAGAATAATAAAAACGTGTACGCATAGTAAAGCTTAATTCATAGGATGTGACATAGCTATTACATAGAAGGCTTGAACAAGTATTTTGAACCAATATTTCCCTAAAGTGCATTTTGTCTTTTCAGGTAACTCTTATTAACAATATGAAATTTTAAATTGTGTATATACTTTATTTTTAGCCCATGCAGCTGCGCGGGTTGATGACTAGTGTAGAGTTATTGAGTGCCTAGCAGGCGGTGCTAACTGTTAAGTTGGCCACTATCGCTTGTATTCTGAATGCAAAGGACATCTGTGCTAAGTTGTGTTGTATAAACAGCCTTGGACGGAATCAACCTTAGGAAAAAGGACACCATAACCATTCCATTCATTATGAAAGTCCATTCACGAGATTTTCCTACAATGTTCTCCAAAGAGCACACTAGAACGGTTCTCCAAAGAGCACACTACACACACGGCTCATGGGAAAAACACTGAAACATAGTAGCACTCACTACATACAGAAGCACATCCCAAACAGTGGCTTCATTTGCTCAATCCATGGTATGACAATAGAACCGATGGAGTTGGATATTCGTCGTCTTGGCTATGACAGCGCAGCCCTTCTTGCTGCACTTTCCAAATTGAACTCCTTGGCCCTGTGAAACTTCTTGACATGGCGATGAAACAAAGGAAAATTAATGATATTCAAGTCAACACGACAATCAACCACGGAATTTGAAAATTGAGAGAACATATATAGCTACCTCTTTATCATCGTTGCCGATTTCCGGGGGCCTTTTGACATTATGTGATGAAACAAGCATGGAGATGAAGGTGCGCGCAAAGGGAAGCAGAACGGTGTTTATAGTGCAGATTTTAGTAGAACTTGTATGATGATGCATGATTAGTAGGACTTGTTATTATATATGATGATGTATGATGCGAGCATGAAGAGTTATTATATATCAGCGGGTGAAATGAACATAGCAGTAGCGTTGGTAAACCAAGCACGAAGATAAAAGAGGACACTTCTCTCTATTAGCTAGCTAATAACAACCTAAATTAACCCCCAAAACCCCTAAACCAGCCACTTTCAAAAAAAAAAAACCTCAGCTGCAGCCAGCTTCTGACGCGTGAATGTCTTTTGATCCCGGTTTATGTCACCAACCGGGACCAAAGGCCCCCCTGTCTGGGCTGCCCGCAGCGGCCACGTGGATGCCCATCTGTCCCGGTTCGTGTAAGAACCAGGACTAAAGAGGGAAGGCATTAGTAACGACCTATTAGTTCCGGTTCAAGAACCGGGACTAAAGGCCCTTACGAACCGAGACAAATGCCCTGTGTTTCTACTAGTGTTGCCTAAAGTTATTCATTCATGCATGTAACTGGTCAAGGTACACGCACTGGCTAAGCGTCCGTAACGCGCACACTAATCGCGTCAGGGAGAAGTTAAAAGTTTTTAAGAAGTTTCAAAGTAAGCTTAGTGTGAGATATTAATAATAAGTACGGCTACAATAATGAACTCGATGAAGCTTTACATGCGAAGATACCATGTTTGAAGGGAGCAAGCCTTGTATCCATGAATTGAAATGTCTACACATATTCAAATGACGTGCAGAGCATGTACAATTTACTAGTAGCAATGAGTGTATGTGTGTATGTATGACCATCTGCATCTGTACTGTGTCCCAAAGAAAAAAGAACGTAAGGTTCCGGTTTCACCTTTTCTTCGTCTAACCTCACGTTCGTTTCCATTTTTTTCTTTCATCGTTGATTTTTTCTTCCCGCCGATTTTCCTAAAACCAACTTAATTGTTCCATGATCTCATTTAGTTATCAAAATAGAATAACATTTTACTCCCTCCGTTCGGAATTACTTGTTGTAGAAATGGATGTATCTAGATGTATTTTAGTTCTAGATACATCCATTTTCGAGACAAGTAATTCCGAACGGAGGGAGTATTTGATAAGACAATAAGTTCGTTTTTTTTTCAAAAAAGTCAATAAGTTCTTATACCACGCAATTGTTTGAGCTGGTACGAAATCATGATGATTGCGTATAAAAACTTGCTAAGATTTGTATGGACCAATGTAAATCACATTACCATTGTACTAAAATATTGCAATTGTCTGTCTATCCAGTTAAGATCATAATAAGATTCGGTGGCTGGGCCCACGGGCAATCGGGGGGTCTCGTCGGGGACGCGTAGACAAGAAAAGAAAGAAAGACAACCGCAGAAAAAAAAAGGGAAAGAAAGAGGCTGGTGGAAACGCCCAGAAGAAATGCGAATGACCCCTGTCGGGTCGAGAAATCTCCCGAATGCTCCCCCGGCTTCCGCTCCGCGCACCCGCATAAATACCCGCCCGCCTCCGTACCGACGCAACAGACTACAGACAACAGAGGAAGAAGAAGAAGGAGGAGAATCAGAGCGCTCGCGCATCGCCCGCCGGCAGCTGCATATTCGCCCGCACACACCATTGATTTGTCCCGGGCCGGTGGTGGTTCCTCGGATCAGACCAGATCAGATCGGATCGGATCCCCACAACTGTAAACACCCCCCTGCTTCTCTTCACCTCCTCCCCATTTTATATAATCTCTGAATGAAATGCTGCGTCAGGCTGTTACCATAAGTATATCAGATTAGCTAGCTAGCCTTGTGAATCCTTCTCGCCATTGCCTCTCACCTACCTGCATATATTGTGACTAATTTACTGATAAATCAAAGGCCCTGTCCCTATTGCAAACTCTTGCATTGCGCAATTCTTGTTTGTTTGGGGAACAATCTATGCACTGTCCCCCGTTGTTTACAATGTGTCAAATCCTTTCATGTTTCATCCAACCTACCATGTCACTCAGCGGACGGGTGTTCTGCTTTTTCCTATGCAGTTTCAGTGATCTTTATATTGTATAAAAACATGGACCCTGTATGGAGACCATGACACTTATCTGTATTTCTTCTTCTTTCTTGCAGCTTGCAGACATCACAAGAGCATAATCTGGTTGACAGACCCAGCCATTTATCCTGCCAGTATATATAAAGGCTAGTAAATCATGTATCCAACAACAAATCACTACATGGATCCATACTCCTCATACTACAGGCATCATTCTCCCTATCCATATCACCCCCCTCCTGGCTGGGAAGCTGGGCACCAGCACATGCCTGAACCGGACTGCTCGCCATGTCGGCCACCATATCCATATGGCCCTTGGCCGTACAGTGGTACCATGAATCACTCAGGCCTTCCAGAGTCCCACTCCCATAGCTGCTGCAGCCACACATACCCTCCTGGTTACTACAGTTTCAGACCCCCATTGCCCCAAGAACTTCCACCACCACCTCCTCTATACTACCATGGTCCATTTCCACCGCATCATCATCTGAACCCCTACTCGCCATCATACTTTGGCCCACTCCCACCATGTCATCCTGTCGATCAAACACCATATAGTGGTTATGACAAGTTCAAGAGCCATTGCTGTGGGTGTCCGAACCATGTGTGCCATGGAGATGGAGGGCAGAAGAGCAACGTGAAAATCGAAGAACATGTGCCTGAAGTGAAGGATGACAGTAAACAGAAGGATGCAGACAATTCCAGAATAATTCGCAACCCAAACTACCAGTACCCGGTGATGTGGCTACCGTCCGGTGACATGAAAGACAACAAGGCTAATGATGGAAGAAGCTTAGAGTTTCCACCTCAGCTCTTCAGCAAGTGGTTTCCTCAGAGTGGAGAGAGGGCAGAGGATGTCAAGCCAGCCGATGACAGTCAGAAGGCGAAACAACTTCAGTGGCCAATGGTTTGGATGCCACCAGGATATGGCGTTGAGACCAAACCAGAAGCTAAAAAAGAGCTGAAGGAGATCGAGCAGAGTCCAAAGAGCACGCAAGAAGATCCACCTTCGCCTAAGATCAAGATCATTCCCTTGTCATGGTTTGGAAATGATAGTCATGATCAGAAGCCTGATGCTAGGGATGGCTCTGGAGAACAAAATGGAAGACCATCAGCGGAGAACCAGCCTGCAGGCACTGAGCATCGGCATGACATGACAGTGGATGGAAACTGTAAGACCATCCCAGTTGTGCCGAAGAAACCAAACATTGGGAATGAACATGCTATTTCAGTTGTGCCGGAGAAACCAAAGAGTGGGAATGAACCTGCTACTATTTCCGTTGTGCCGGAGAAGCAGGATGTTGAGAAGAAGGTTCGTACCTGCAGGACCATCCCGGTTATGCCTCAGAAAGAGAGTGATGAGAAGAAATCCTCCATGGCTGGAAACAAAGAGGAAAAGAAGGCCATCATGGTTCAGAAGGAGGGAGAAAGTAAGAAAAGCAACAATGTTGAAGCATCAAAGGCTAAGCCTTCAAAACTACCCCCAGTATGCTTGCGAGTGGATCCTTTGCCAAAGAAGAAATCAGGAAACACATCTTCAAGGTCATCCAACCCAGCAACGAGGAAGGTATCTGAAAAAGACAAGGATGTTAAAGAGGCCCAAGGCAAGAACCAGGAGACAAAGCAATCAGAACATCAGAAAGAGGGTAAGATGTCGATTAAAGAGAAATCATCTGATGATGTTGCCAAAAGTACAGGGCCTAGGAATGTAACAATGGTAGATGCTTCAGTGAAGCACGCGCAAGAGGAACAAGTTTCCACAACTGTGACTGATCAGAAGGCGCAACCTACCGTCAGTGCTGAAGCACAAGAAGAAAGTGTCAGTGCAAGTAGCTTGCAGGAGTGTGACAAAAACAGAAAGGAGGATGAGTTGAAGATCGGAGGTGAAGCTCCAAATTTAGCCTGTGAAATAAAGTTATCAGAACCAGATGCCTGTGAAATAAAGTTATCAGAACCAGATGCCGCTGTTCGTATTCAGTCTGCATACAGAGGGTACCATGTACGAAGATGGCAGCCTTTGGAGAAACTACGGAAGATCAAGAATGTACATAAACAGATGCAAGATGTGGAAAAGCAGCTGCAAGCCCTTGAAGCTTCTTCAAAGCAGCCGACAGAGAAAGAGCACATCGCTATGAATGAGACCATCATGAGTTTACTTCTGAACCTTGACACCATTCAGGTATTGCATCTTTTCATTTTAATTTGATTTGATTCATTTTCTCGTGTGCGGAAAAATTGCACGCTGGCTAGGTACTTGGTCGTTGGACGGTGTTTGTTTTGACTCTTCATATACTTGTGCAGAACTTGCATCCAGCTGTGAGGGAGGCTAGGAAGTCTGTCGCTCGACAGCTAGTTTGTTTGCAAGAGAAGCTCGATTCTTTGTGCAAGAGAAGCTCGACAGCTAAGAGTGAGGAAGCAAGTCCCACAGGAGTGGATGGAGAACAATTGCCTTCTTCAGTTAACTCCAACGAGCCTGTGCACGATGAAGTTTCATCGGAAGTTGCCTTGAAGTTGAGTCAAGATGGAGATTCTACTGAACAGAAGCATCAAATGGAAGAACCAAGTACTACAAAAGAAGAAGCTCAAGAGGAAGTAAGTTAACCTATGTTTTCAATTGCTTGCCATTCTAATATTGCAAAACCCCTGTGTTTTGAAGTGGTATATCTGACGCGCATCATGTCCGGTAGGGGAAAGCTGCAGCAGCTGGTGAATGTCAAAGAGTACCACCGACAGATGTGATGCATGATGCAGCTTTGTCGGGACTTGTCACTGAGAAGAAGCACGAAATGGAAGAGCCAGACATATTGAGGGAAGAATGTACTGAAGAAGTAAGCTGTATTTATGTTTATGTTGTTGATCGGCATATACTATTTTGCTCATTGGTTAATAAGATAATTTTTTTAGTTCATGGATTGGATGTTAACAGTGTTAATGTGAGCAGGTGAAAGCCGCAGCGAAGAGTGAAGGATCTGCGGAGCAAAACTGCCACCCTGAAGAATCAGATCAAGGCGTTTCTTTTACAACTGAGGATGGTAAAACTGCAATGACTAAAGCATGTATGGACAGTGCAGTTGATGCTGCCAATGTGAGTTTCGAATTTATTTATTTTGGAGATGGGTTTAATACCAATATTTTCAATATGGAATTTTGTAGCGAAAATATTAAATATTGTGTATGATCGATGAAGCAGGACGGTTCGGCAGAAGGAGGTCAGGTGCAGGAATCTGCTCCCGTTGGTATCTCGTGGCTGAAACATGATGCTGCCCCTGCTGAAGATCAGTTCAAAGAACCAGGTGCTCCATCCCTTCATCTGGAGGATTCTTCTGTGTCTTCAAAAGCTGCAGATCCACATGAAAATGATCCAGCCCTGGCAGATGACTCCATAGTAATCATCACTCCAGCAGACCAACAAGAAGAGTCCGTTGATGCCGACTTGAAGAAAGAAGTTGCAGAGACCATGGTTGATTCAGACAAAGAACCAAATGGAACGCCAACGCGTCCTGTTGGCGATGCCGCTAACATGGCCTACGTTCCCGGTGCAAATGCAGAGACCACAAAGCAAGAAAAACTTGGTTTGGTAGGACCAGAAGCGACAAGACAATGTGAGGTTTCTCACATGGACGATTCAGCACTTGTGGAGCAGCAAAATGAAGGTGGCTCTGCCATGGAAAATACTATGAATGATGATGAAATTGGAGAGGAGCCTGAAGCCATAGCATCGGAAAGCAGAGTCGATGCCATTGTAGAGGAGACTGAAGCTGTACCATTGGGAATCGATGACAAGACCACTGAAAATACTCTAAATGGTGCCACTGGAGAGGAGGCGGAGAGCAGAGACAAAACCATGGAAAATACTCTGAATGCTGTAATTGGAGAGGAGCCTGAAGCTGTACCACTGGAAGTCCAAGGCAAGACCACTGAAAATACTCTGGATGATGCAGTTGGAGTGGAGCCTGAAACTGTACCACTGGAAAGCAGAGTCGAGACCATGGAAAACACACTGAACGATGCAGGATGTCCGAGTAAAACGAGTGCTGAACCTGCCCTGCCTGAAAGTACAAGCGACGGAGCATCATGTGAAGACGGCGGTGCCACGGTGTACGCCAATCCTGACTCCAAGGTGTCTTCGGAGAGCCATGGTGGTGAGCAAAAGGAGCAGGATGATGATGGAGGTAAAGCAGATGTTTCTGAATCAACCGAGGGCGATGCCACCGTGCCTGCCGAAACTCTAGCAACAGGAGCGAATTCTGCAGCGCCTGTACCAGAAGCGGGCAAGCCGGAAGAAGGTGCTGAAGGAGCACCTCCAGAGGTAGAAGAAGCGGCCGAGGGCGGCGACGATGAGAAGAACAAGGGCTTGGACGACGAGAACCAGAAGCTGAAGGAGATGCTGCAGAAGCTCCTCGCCTCCGGCGACGACCAGATGGGGGTCATCGCGGAGCTGAGCGACAAGGTGAGGTCGCTGGAGAGGAAGCTCGCGGTGCACAAGAGGAGGAGGAGGCCCAAGGTGAGGGTGCAGCAACGTCCACTGAAGAATGACCACGCTTGATGGTTAAGTCTATGTACGTATGTATGTATGTATGTATGTATGTGTCCATATATGCTGCAATCAGCAACGTGGAGGGGAACATTGTATATACAGTTGGACGCAATATGGTTTTCGGTTTGCCGACTGCACAGAAGTGACGAGACGACTGTTGGCGTTGGTCCTCCAGTTTTTCAGTTTTCAACCCGTTTCTCTCTTCGCCTCGCCTCGAGTTTGGAATCATGCACCGCGGGTTGGTCTGTGGTTTCAAAATTTTTGAATAACGCAAATACCTTCTGAATATCCACACATTTTTTGAATTTCTGAACATTCTTTCAAAACATGAACACTTTTTTGGAAAATGTGAGCAATCTTGAAAAGCAAACATTTTCTCAAAAGATGAACATTTGTTTTACAAAGCCAAACATTGTTTTAAATTCTCTGCCCATTTTTGAAAAATAAGAAAAATCTTGAAAAAAAAAACTGAACCTGAACATGACGTGAACATTCTGGATGGTTCGCAAAACCAAGAAACTAGAATACATGGAAACTAGAATGCATTTAAAAATGTTGATCAAGCATTATAGAAAATGTTAAAAAAGTACTCGAAACATGGTAATCAAGCATAATGCTAAATGTGCATATAAAAAAATGTTGACCATGTATTAAAAAATGTTAATCTTGTATGTCAAAATTGTTAATCAATCAGTTAAAAATCTGAAATATTTATGGATAAAATATTAAACATGTATTCAGAAAATTTCACATTTAACATTTTTCAAATCCTTGTTTTACTTTTTAAAAAACATATGTAAATATAATTTTAATATATATATATAGAATATTTGGAATTATAAACATAAAATAAAATAAATAAAAATAAAAATGTTCAAAAAAGAGAAGAAAAAAAACAAGGTAGTGGCCTGTGGCCTCCCATGGGCTGGGCCGGGCCATTTACAGACGTGGCTAACTGAGTGTACCCTACGTTTCGCTACCAGCGAGACACAGTTGCGCCTTACACCTACAGGACTAGCTGACAACAAATGATTTCAGTATGGCAATTTTGTTAAATATTGATGAGTTAAGCTTGGCTGTTTCTCGTAACAGAACAAAAATTCCCCTAAAAACATTCTAAACGGAAAAAACTATAGGACTAACGTATTTTTTTGGCTGTTTTTTTTATTTTGACGGTTTTCTAAACACATTCTTAAATTTAAAAATATTTGCAAATTCATAAAAAGCTTCATGAATTTAAAAGTGTTCAGGAGTTTTAAAGCAAGCGTTCCCAAATTTCAAAAAAATATCCCAAAATTTCAAAAAAATAATTCATGGATTTGAAGATTGTTCTTTTTTTTAAAACGTGAATTTTGAAAATGGTTTTGAATTTTGAAAAATGTTCATGAATTTCAAAGATTTTCATGTATTCAAACTAGATCAATACCAGATGAAGTCTTGTGGGTGGGGTGTTTTGGGGTGTAGTCTCGGTACATTATGTATGTCTTTCATTCACGCAATGACATATCAATGTCGTGTGTGGACTCGATTGCTATTGGCCTTTAGATTAGATCGAGACTAGAAGAGGTATTGTGGTGTCGTCTCGGCCGGCCGTTCCCTTGTGACTATGGCGATGACACACAAATGTCGTGGGGTGAGCACACCAACCCTTCTTTTATTGTGGTTCTACGTGTGATTGTGCTCCCATTATAAGTCTCCGTATTCTGATTCTTTGATTTAATTGAAATGGTTACCGGCAAATACCCACCATAGTTCACCTAAGACAACACGTACTATGTGAAGTTGATATTTTGGGCATAAATTCCCTGGTTTTCTATTCACTTACTATGTGTTGTTTGTTTAACCTATGTGTATAGCTTAACTAATTCTTTATTTTGGGCAAAAGTTGCAAACATTGAGCAGTGCTCGAGCACTAATTCTACCTTTATTTGTGGCCATCCTTTATGTACCAACCGATGCCACTATCAGCATGCATGTACTTTGCTCTTATCTTCTTCGGCGCAAACCGACAGCTTCATTAGGCTTTTGGCCAGCCAGGTCACCTCAACGCCTTTTGCCATTAATGGCACGACCACTTGCTAGCTGCTCATGCTATTTATGGGCATCCATGCAAGCGCCATCAGATCGGCCGTTGTCTTGTCATGCCATATCGGTCGATCGACATGGTGCTATGGGTGCTAGAGATGCCAGAGGCAGTGGTGTTGCGGCTGTTGTTCTGTTGTTTGAACCCTAGGACTATGTTTAAGTTGAAATTTGTGTGGTGTTTAACACTATGTTTAACTCTTGTTTGTGTCTTATTGAACTTGCGTGATGTTTTAAGTGGCATTGTATGTGAATTGTGTGATGTTTTATGGAACTTAGAGGCAGTCTAAGGTTCAAAAGTATGTTGTTTTATGTTTATTTAGTAGCAAGCATGGTACTAAATTGAAGGAATTTGACAGCCTTGAAGATAAGAATGGAGGCGTTTCCTAACGAAACGCCTCTGTGACAGTGAGCATTAGAAGCAGTTAATCATAAGAAACCACCTATGGTGCTCTGAGCATTCGAGGTGGTTCTGACAACCACCGCTGGCGTACAAAGTATTTGCAACACGGGCTTTGGGGCGATACGAGGAACCGCTGTCGGACCTATACTAAAACACGTTTAGGTACTAGCAGGTCTCTTTAGTGTGAATTAATTGGCATGTTTGATATTGTAAGATGTCAGATATGTTTCTGATTTATATCGATTTTATATTTTAGTGTGAATTAATTTCATATCTAAATGGGAATAAACAAATGATTCTGCTGCAGCACGAGTAGTTTGCTTGGCTTTCACTCGTCCATGCCCTGCATTGTGTGTGTCCTTCGACAACACCCCTCGTCTATATGTGCCTCTCGTGGTGATGATCATATGTCTGTTGCTAGGTCGTGCCTTCTCTTGGGCGTCCATTTCTTCTCTTCTTCTTTAACTTTGATATTTGTATGCTTTCGACCCAGTTATCTAGAAAACGGGGTTAATTTGTTAAGGTTTTTGATCCGGTTTTTTTATAAATTGGATCAAAGCCTAAGGAGAACTCCCCCACCCCCATCAGTGATTCTCAAAGAAAAAAAGATCCAAAAAGAGCTGTACCACGACGTACCATTGTATGTCGGTGTATCCCGGGGTTTGAAATAGTTCAGGCTAGCTAATGCATTGAAAAGGTTCTGGCGGCTAATAACACCCACCAGACGAAACAAACGATTGTAGTTATTTTATTTTATTTTATTATAAATTCCCTAGTTTCTTATTTAGTTTTTTAACGGAAGTTTCTTATTTAGCCACAGTATTTGTTTGGTTAATCTAGTACTCCTACTAAGGACCACCATGTATCGAGAATTGTTTGCCTCTCGACTGTAGCTCTATATCTATGGAATAAAACTCTTTTCACCATAAAAAAAATCGTTTTGCAGCGTCACGTTGTCGCCCAGTTCAGAAACATCTTTTTTTTAGTACTCCCTCCGTCCCAAAATTCGTGTCTTACATTTGTCTAAATACGGATGTATCAAGTCACATTTTAGTATTAGATACATCCGTATCTAGACAAATCTAAGACAAGAATTTTGGGACGGAGGAGAAAAATGTGCTCCCTCGATTAATTAATTCATTATCTTCTGCCATGCATCGATCGCACTTGCAAAAGGTGAGCAGTGATCTAGGGAACACTGTTACTCTACTTTCGTGCATCAATCATCATTGTCATAACGACCACTTGCTGGAGCTCATGCTATTTAAGGACATCCATGCATGCACCACTAGATCATGATTGGCGCGCGTTGCGGCGCCCGTCTATGTTTGCGATGAAATGATAGGAGTTTCCATAGAAAAGGGTCTAGACGATGGATATAATATTTTGTTGAATTTTTAATGCAAACAACAAATTGTGTCCTTGGTGTCTTTCTTTGCAACTCTAGTTCACGTTCTCCTTTAGTGTTAAGGAAATCAACTTGCAAAAAGAAAGCTCACTAACACTTTGATGGAAATCAAGTTTCACTTTGATAGTCATGTATACAAAGAAAAGGCGGCCTATTGGGAACTAATTACAAAGCTCATCTGGAAACCAACAAGGAAGACTGTGCATCGCTGAGTTATGGCAGGCTAGCAGCCAAACACATCAAATACATCAGAAACACAATGAATAAACTGCAGAGCACAAGCAGGAAAAACACAACACGATTATTGTGTTTCCATGGCTTAACATGTATTGGTCCTGAGCCTTCTAGTTGGAGGGCCAATTCCACTATACAAAGAAAAATGTTGCGAACTCAAGGACAACTAACATAGCATGCACACATTCCATGCTAATCGACATTATTATCATGTGAATATGATGTCGTAGATGCTAGTTCCAGTACTTTTGTAACAGATTCCTCCTCACTTTCATTAATAAAACCACAGAGATTGAAGCTACAACCGAAACAAGAAAATAAAACCATTGTGGTTGTTTCAAGCTCAATGGAACTGAACAAGTGGATGTTTTCACATTCTCTGAAACAGGCATCCTTGAGCTGGCATATGGTCTGGAAACATTATCTAACAGCAACATGATCAAAGTTCAGCCCCCCTTGAATTGGTGACACCCATTAGCTTCAATACATATAAACTAATAAGCTACTAAGCATTGTACAGACTAATAGACTCCTTGCCGTTTCAGAATTCTCAAAGATATAAGTGCATTGCATGCATTGTACTTATCTTCATTTGTGATTTCGTGTCATCTCACGTGGAAAGAGGTAATTTAACCTTTTCGCTCAAGTCCTGCAAGCACAGAAGCAACCTCATTTCACGCAAATAATCTTGTTTTCAAAAGAGAAAATTGTAATAAACCATTGACTTGCCATGTGATTCATAAGTTATTGCAACTAACATTACACATAACGAAACAAAGACATGCAGCAAGCAATGATAGCAGAGGTTTCAAATCAAACCATATGAATATTCAGGAATCTGAGAACTGAAGAGGTGTATAGAGAGCTCACCAGCGACCTAAC